TTTCAGTTGTTAATTCCCTAGGTATGCCTGAAGGGAATGTTTAAAAAGAAAATTCCCGTATGACTAGCTGGTCTGCAGAAATCAGATCTCTTTCAGGCTGGTTGGGGTTGGGTTTTTGTTTTGTTTTGTTTTTTTTCCTGCAGGCTGAAGAATATGTGAATGAAATCTAAGCATCCCAGCTTTGCTAGTGCTGACTCTGACAGCCAGCAAACAACCCTGTGCTCCAACAGTGACTTCAGTGGTTGTTAATAAATGAGGGGTCCTGCATGTTGCCATCCTAATGAGACCATATATAATTCAATGATCTTTAACTGTTAATAAAATACTCATTAGCCTGTTTTTCTCTTGTGCCTAATAGCCATTTTAAAAAATGTCCTAAGGTGAGTACTAATACCTCCATTGACACTTAGCCTGCAAGTGCACCTTTTTGTTTGATATTGAGACTGATATCTTGAACAGCTGAAATCTGGACATTTCCCACATACCTTGCTTTTGGGAAACCCAGTCATCTGCCAGGAGCTTAGATTTCAGTCCAGCCAAAACGTCTGTAAGATTCCTTAGTTTGATTTCCCTCTTCTGGCATTATAAAGGACAGGTCTTTACATCTGTGTGACATGAAATGCTGTGAAACCACAGTGAAATCTTTACTGCCTCAGGAAGCAAATGTGAATCATGTTGAGGTATCAGGTGGCTGAATGGATCAAGCTTAAAAGGTTTGATGTCTAGAAGGATGTGCCTTCTAAAACATTGTGAAGTAATTTGAAGGTAAGTTTGTATATGAGCAGGTAAGAATTGTTATCGTAATTGTTACCATGGTTATTTTTGTAACTGACTTTGAGCAGAGAATGTGCCTAGGGAGTTACCCTGTGATTGTTAATTTTGACAGCATCCCAGGGAAGGTGGTGTCCCAGGATTCCTGCCCTGCTCTGGCTGCCCACAGTCTCTCCCTGAAGATCTCTAGATGTGCCCTCCTTAGCAGGGTCTCCTCTTGGACATATCCTGACACATTAGGCAGCTTCTTTGGAGTCAGCTCTTCTCCAAATAAGGGTGGGTAGGTACATGTCATTCTGTTTCAACAGAAATTTTTGTTTGTTAATTATTGTGAAATTCTTTTTAGGAACTTCTTGATGTAATGCCTAGCAGTGTGCAGGACTGTGGCAGGGCAGCTCACGACTGACAGCTGCTGGTGAATAAGAGAGCTGCCCAGACACTTCCCCAGAGTGCAGGCAAGCCTTGACAGAGGAAGGGGCAACTGGCAGGTGACAAGCAGAAGAACTGACTGAGTAATCCAGCTGTCTTTTAGTGACATACCAGTTTCTAACTCTCATTTGACACAGGTCAGTTTTGAAGTCTGCGTGAATTAGGTACAATGCTATGAATCCAAACATTATGGAGTGAGTACCCTAAAAAAGTCACACAGTCAGAAGATGGATGGAGCTGTGATGCTAAGGAAAAGCAAGGAAAATAAAAAGAGAGACTGTTTTCAGGCATGCTTTTCTTGAGAGGTTGAGGTAAAGTTAAACAGTTTTAAGGGTGATTGAGAGGCTGGAAATAACTTCAGGGTACAGGCCTTAAAGGCATCCTCTACAGTTTGGAACTAAGCAGCAAGTAGTAGTGATAAAGTGGAATAATTGTAATCCTAGTCACTGCTTAGAGGAGTAACTGTAACGTCCAATTACACACAGAGCGATTGCCCAACAGTTTCATGCCTATGAGTTGTCAAAAATCCAGATGGATTCTTTCTTTTTCCTAAGGTAAGGAAACAGGCATCTTAAGGTAGCAACTGTCAGCAGTGAATTCCAACAGAAAACCCATATGTGGAAGCTGCTACTCCCTTGTCTGCATATCTGCTTCCCTTGACAGCATCAGTAAATACATGCAGAGGCTGCAGACACTCCATGCCTTTGCTCTGATTGTCATCTGACACACTAGCAGATACACACTAGCAGTGTTTGCATTTGGAAGTGAGTTCCTCCAGGAAGTGAAGATAATAAACAACAGAGCTGCTGACACTTTGTCCCCCTCCTGCATGACTGGCTCATCAAGGAAAGCCCAGAGAGTTTATTTTAAAATCTAAGGGGTATAGTGATATATGTTGGAGAGGTAGCATAATCAAGGTCCTGGCTACCTGGTAGAATTTCTTCCCTTGTTTCCATGACTTTTGCCAATCAAACTATTGAGCTTCTCTCCCACCCTGAAATCATGGTCCCCAACCTGTTGTTAGGACCCCAGATTCCCTTTTTGTCTGCATTTTAGGTAGCTGGGAGAGGCATTTGGCTTTTCACTGAACTGGCGTCAAGAGACACAAGACCGGGGTTTTTAGTGGATACCTTCACCTAAGTTCTCAAGGTTTTGCTTCAGTGAGAAATGGAATTCTTGCTTTGTTTATCAGCTTCTGACTTGGTTTACATAGGGCAGTTCTTCTGGGCAGTCCCATCACTCCGTGGTCTGCTGTGCAGATGAACCCCTTCCCTTCTCAACCACTCTGCCAAACCCTACATCTCAAATTTGTTAGGTACTGGGAGAAAAAATTCTTTCTAATCCTTCTTTAATATGAGCAGTGGCATGATCAAAATTTTTGCATATGTCTATTAGAGTCTTATCTTTTTCCCTAAAGATAAAGCCCAAGTCCTTCCCTAACCCAAATGAAAGCAGTTCAAAGGAGATAAAATCATTAACAACATCAGAAATAGCATATTGATAATCTGAAGTAGGTATAGAAAGTCCCACAGCAAGAATTCTTGCGTGTTGTCTGTTTAAATACATTTAAATATATTTAAAGTGTGTCTCCCAAGGAGCAGTAGATGACAGGCACTTTGCTGGGTGCCTATGTGCATGGCCACCTTTCAAAAAAACTGACAGTAGTCTGTGATCTGAGCTATTTATGAGACTGACATTTGTGAGAGAGGCAAGGGTTCATCTCCTTCCACCTGAACTTCCTGATCTGGCCTGACCCTAGATGAGGCCATCACACCTCTCTGCCTGCACAATCTCCTCCAGTCCATTAGTAAACTAGTTTGAAATATAATGGGGAGGAGGTACAGAGCCAAGGAAATCTTTAACTTGATGATGCTCATCAGTAGGAGTAATCTATTCACACAGAAGCAACTCAAGTGGTAGCAATGTGCTATTTTTTAAGCCTGTCCTGTCAGCAAATTATTTAATACTGTAAGGTATTTACACACATAATTTATAATAAATCCCACTTCCAGGGACAGGGATTTGACTTTTTAATAATTTGTGAAGGTCTTCATGATGTGGGACAACTCACATTCTCTGTGTGTCTTTCAGTTTAACAGCTTATGGATTTAAAATTACCTTGAATTATTCCTTCCAGCAGAATTCTGGGTTTTACCCATGAGACATATTGCCAGGGCTAGCTGGCATGCTGCAGTCCTGCAGGCAAGACAAGAACTGCATGGATACTGCAAAAAAAATCACAGACTCCCTCAAAACTCTACTACAGGCAGCTTTGGCAAACCCTGATGTTTTCCAGTGAGAACTTACATCTCTAGCATCACTAAAACACACCCTGAAGAATGGATGCACTTACAGGAGATGTGTAAACCTCTTGCCATCACCTGCTTTAGCAGACAGAAAAGCAGTGTCCCACTTAGTGACGCTGATAATACAGGTGGCTGGTAATACAGGTCAGCAGCTCCACGTGAGTGCTGCTGCTGGGCTCAGCAGCACTGCAGGACACACTCTGCAGTTCAGGCTCCTGTCCAGAGGCCCCAGGGTTGGAGTTCTCACCCATGCCCACAGCTGGAGGCTTTGGCTCAGCCAGTGCCCAATGGGATGCTGGATCAGCACACCCAGAACTGGCAGGGACCAAATTCCTGGTGCTGGAGGAATGAGACTGACAGCAGCTGAGTGAGTCATACTTGTAAAATGATCCTGAAAGGTGCCCTGGAAAAACCCCATTTAAACAGATGAAGGAAGCTGAGTCCCTGGAGTTGCTCAGCTACTTTTTATTGCTGCAGACGCTGCTGGCAGCCTCCTTTGCTGGGAGACCTGTCCAAAGTGGTTGAGCTCAAAGTGTACCTTGGCAGGGGCCCAAACCACAGGGTTCATGTTCACAATGGCACCTCAGTGCGCCTTCAGACAACCCAAAGGCCCCCTAGATCCTTTTGCCTCCACAATGGTCACAGACACCTTTTTCCACTGCCCTTTGAGTTTGGTCCCTGCTGCTAGAAAGTATTTTAGAATGGCAACACCTCAGAAAAGTTCACCTGCAGCAGTGGGGTTTGTGCATGAGGGTGAGTGAAAAGAGAGTGGCTGTTTCACCCTGTCATACACATACAGAGCATGTAGAGGGAAAGCATTATTCCAGGAGGGTCAGACTTGAGTGTTGTCAAGTGTGCACCAGGGTGGGGACTTGCAGGGTGATAGGACTGCTTCAAGGCCACTTTTGGAACTAGGGAGTGTGCTAGGTTGGTTGAGGTGAGCACCAGGGCACAGTGGTAGGATGTCTGAGGATTCTGTTTATTCTTACCCTAAAAGCATTGACAGTCTCTAAACCCAGTCCTAATTGTGTGGGAACCCCTCTTCTGCGCAATCAAATTCAAGCTGGTGCCTCATGCACATGAATGCCACTCGGTAGGAAGGGAGCACTGTGGGGAAGGAGTGTCCCATTTCCAAAACCCAACTTCAGCCCCAATGTTATTTCCTCACAGCTTCAAGTTGGCATGTGAGTCACTAAAAATCCCTCAGCTCACATCCTTCCCAGAAATGCCAGTCAAAACCCAAGCAGCTATTCACCCAAAGTACCAATTTTATAGTTCTGTGTGTGTCTATAATCTATTTACCAGCATTCCTATTTCAGTATGTGCCTGTTAATAAGATTAGTAATTAAAAAGCTTGATAGGAATTGGCAAGCACAGCTCCTCCGCCTTTCCCTCCCCTCTGAGCCGGGCTGGCGTGGAGTGTGAGGCACGGTTGGCAGAGTACCTGAGGGAGTGAAGGCAGGAGGCTCTGCTGCAACCTCTGCCTGCAAGAAAGTAATGGAGAAATCCAGACCCCTATGGGACAATCCCCTGCAGTTTGTTTTCGCCTGCATTTCCTATGCTGTGGGGCTGGGAAATGTGTGGAGGTTTCCATACTTGTGTCAGATGTACGGAGGAGGTAAGTGGGGTTTGCATTTTCTTGCTTCCCTCGAGGAGCAGTGGGGCAAGCTTGAAGTGCAAAAATGTGTTGTCCATGTTCATGCTCTTCAGCAAGGTCCAGGGCAGAGAGGAGGTCTGGCTTTGTGTTGTTGTGCAATCTGTTTTGTTGTGGCTTTATTTTATGTATTCTTTAGCATTAGATTTTTACCTGACAGCTGCTGACAGCAGTATGGTGGCATTGTTTCCTGTAAGTGCAATGGAACAGTGGAGAGGTCCATGTTTTCTAAAAATACTGAGGTAGAGTGAGAGATACAGATCCACATAGTATTCATTGATTATATTTTTGCCCCACTAAATCACTTTGAAGGTGTCGGAAACTGGTTCATGTTCTTGTACATTCACCTATGGGGACTTGGAAAATATTGAGAAGGGGAGATGATGATACTGATTTAACTTAAAGATCAGCTGTATTATTTCAAGTACCTGTCATTAATATCTAGTCTTTTATACGAAGCCTTACTTTAGGAAATGATAACTTGACTGCAAATCTGTGTTAAAGTTGGCTGAAATGCCTTAATCAACAGGAGTTTCATAGCTAAAGCCTCCCAGGAACCTTTGGAAATAAGGAATAAATTGATTTGTCTTCCAAAAATAAATAAACCAACCAAAAAGACCTCAAAATCCTCTTTGAAAATTTATCCTCCTCCTGGGTCCAAACTGAAGGAAGATGATATTTGTGGCATATATGAGACACAGTTGTTCTTCCTTAGAAATGAAAAGTCAGTTAATTAGATTAATTAAAGACCATTATTAATAATCTCCTCTAGTATACAGCTACCACAGTTTTGAAGAATCTTTAGAAACAGGCTCTCTATAAGACAACTATGTTTTTTTACTGCTTCATACTTCATCCTTTGACATGACTGGGGACCCATCTCAAATCTTGCATTAAGGGACATGATGAGCATCTGCTTTATCTGCTTCTGGTCTCCTTCTGCCTTTTCTTCCTTTCAGGAAGAAACACTGAGATGTGAAACAGCTTTTTGCTTTTATGCTTATTTTGTTGGCTTACTTCTGAATGCACTTGTGGTGGTAGCAGTTGGTTCATGCTGCTGTTTGAAAAGCCATCTCAGGGATGAGACTGCATCAGAGCCATCCTGTGGGATCAGGTCAGAAAAATCCAGATAATATGGTGGGTGAAGTATCAGTAGAATATAGATGCTTCAGTGGCTGAAGCTTTTTTAGACAGTTCAGATAGCAGAAATGATAGATATGCTGTAATTTTGCATGTATTCCCCACCACATGCTTTAAGGTAAAGACTTCATATCTGACACTGAACTCTAGCACAAAGTTTAAAATGTGTTCCTGTTTGCAATCAAACTGCACATGATCAGTTCTCTAGTTCCTATCATGGCAGACATCCTGAAGGACAGCAAAACTCTGACTTTTTGGGGGCTGTGTGTCATTCTTTTAACCAGCCAGCTGTATTGTGGTGAAAATTCTCTGAAAGGTGGTGAAAATTCTCTGAAATGTAACCAAAACTGGAACATTTGGTTAACCTGAATAGAAGCTTAAATAAGCTTCCGTGCTCATTGCAAGGGCTTTGGACTACATTATCTTTAAAAGGTGACTTCCAACTCAAACTATTCTATTATACATCCAAGAATTTTCTAAAAAGCATGTTTTATAAGAACATTTTTCCATTATTTTTCACTATATTTTCCATTGTTTTTCTCTTTACCACTTATATTTATGTGGGGAAAGGCAGCTCTTTCAACTGTGAAATTAAAACTCCTGACAGGAGGTTTTGCTTTTTTTAATTGTTTTATCCACTGCCCTCTTAAAGAGGATTCTGTGGCTTTCCAGGGGTTCACAAAACCCACGCATACAGGACATCATTTCAGGAACTTAAAAGCTGGAAATGTCAGGCTCTGGGATTAATTAGGGGGGTGCCAGCTTGTTTGGCATCTTCCTTGCAGTAAAGCAGGGAGCCAGTGCCTGTCCTGCCCAGCAGGGCAATAGAGCCTTATCACGGACGATGCTGAGCATTTGTAACCTGAGTATTTGCAGACTTTGTAACCTGTCATTCTGTTCATCAGCAGTTTCCCTTCTTCTCCTCCTTCTCCTCGCTTTCCTGCTGGGAGCATGACCTGAGCATGAACATTCACACCTCGTAGATGCAGCTCCTCTTAGGGACCTAAGCGGGCCGGGCCAGGCTCCGCCGAGGCTGGGCCGGGTCTGCAGCGGGACTGGTGCTCAGGCCTGGGCGAGGAAGCCCCCGAGCACCAGGCAGGAGCCTGAGCAGGGCCGAGGGTGCCGCTGGCCAAGCCCAGGGCCTTGAGCAGAGCCAGGGCACACTCTGCAGTGATGTCCTCCTCCATGGTCCTCCCTTTCACCAGCTACAGGGATCTGGCCTGGGGCTGGTTTGTGCAGACAGCTGGAACCGGAGGGAGCAACACCCGGTGTCAGTTGAGTAGAGCTGGTTCCCAGCTGACAAGGAGCTGGTTTATCGGCTGCCCAGAGTCACTTGTGTGAGCCCTTCTGGTTCTCCTCTTTGGGAAGAGCAGCACTAGGAGCAAGGTCTGCGTGCAAACAGGATGCAGAGCAAGGGGCAGGGGCTTAGCACCGGCACCCCCAGCTGCGGGGGGACACTGGGGTGAAGAACAAGCCTGAAGGCATTTCTCCTCCTTGCCAGTTGGCACAGTCAATGCCAAACATGTGGCAGCGCTGCTGGGAGGGCGGAAAACCTAGTGCTGATTCCCCTGTGGGAGATGGCAGAGCTGCCTCAGTGGCTGCTGGGCAGCTCGCAGCCCACCGGCACAGAGCGGCTGCGGGAGCTCTTAAACCTCCGACGGCTCCCTCGCGGCAGAGGAAGTTATCTAACAGACTAACAAAGGGGTTGTTAATAACAAGGGAGCTGGGAGGTGGGAAATTAATTCCCAGAATAAAACGGATTATTGCTCTGTGTTTATTTCCAGGTCTTTGCCTCAGTCGCTCATGGAGTTCATTCCTCCACAGCGCTGCACAGAGCCCATTGCGAGGAATGTTAATGCCACAGATTAAATCCTAAATAAGAGATATTTACGTAAATATTTTGGCTTGCTGTAAAAAGGGAAGCAGGGAAGCCTTCACAAAAATCCAGCTTTTGACTCAGTCAGCAGCTCTTTCTGAAGTGAGCCCCAGGTTGAATACAAGGATTTTCTTTTTTTCTGGCAGAAATTGAAGCCAAAGCACATCCTGATTGCCAGACAAGAAGGTTCTTTTCCTTTCCTTGCTGTCAACTGTCTCACTCTTGCTGTTCCTCTTCCACAGGAACATCTCTGTGGCTCTCCATGTGCAGAGAAGCAGGGATGAGCAGTCCCATGCAGGAGACCCAATGTCTGTGTCAAAGGGTCTGCTCCCAGGCTGGGAGGAAAGGCCCTGGGGGAAAAGCCTTCATTCATTTGCTGGTGCTTGTGGGCTCAGGATGGGAATTTGGGAGCTTTTTTGTTTGGTTTTTTGATTGTTTGCTTTTTATTTTTAAGCAAGGCCAGACTTCAATATGTCACTCAAAACTCTCTGCTTGACACAGACATTGCTGTTAGCTTTTCTTTGAGCACTTTGGCTGTGCAGCAGAGCACCCCACACTGAAGTAAATCTTTCCCTCGTCCTCTTTGTCTCATTATGGGTTACAAGGTTTGGCAGGTGGCTGGTTACCCTTTAACAGCCCCAGCCCCCAGCATTGCTCAAACCGCCCGGATGCATCTGGGCAGCGCTGCCGCACAGCAGGGCCGACCAACACAGTTTAACAGCAGAAACCCCAGCCCTGCCAAGTCCCTGCGGAAAATTCCCTGTGCCCAGGCAGTCAGTGCCCACCAGCCTCTGAGAGACTGCCTGAAACCTCTGTGAGATGTCCTTCAGGATTGGGCCATGCCCTCAGTACTACAGGTACCTGTTCAGGACCAGGACCGGGTCAGCCAGCCCCTGGGACACTGAGAGCATGGCTTCAACACAAACAGGGCAAAGTGATGTTTATCTTGCTGCTGATTTGCTGAAGGCTGGCTGTTGGGTTTGTTCTCCCAGGAGGCTTTTTGATCCCATACCTCATCATGCTGATTGCCGAGGGGATGCCCCTGCTGTACTTGGAGCTGGCCGTGGGGCAGCGCATGCGGCAGGGCAGCATCGGCGCCTGGAAAATTATAAGTCCCTACCTCTGTGGTGTTGGTATGTTCTCAGTTCCCATCTTTGTTTTCCAGCATGCAGGGAACCTGGGTGATTTTATATTGGAGAGCTTTGTCTTTCAGAAAAAAGCCAGGCGGGAGCTCAGGTTTTACTGGGTCTCACGAGGCTGAGCAAAGCCAGACACTTCATGGCATGCATTTAGCCAGTCCCTTGTTGGGCACTGGGGCTTGCTGTATTGGGTCTGGATTCAGAGGTGTGAATCCCCCTGCCCTCAGGCTGACTGCCAAAATCATGTTGTGGAGGCCAGTGCTAAACCCAGCCCTCAGGGCTGCCTACAGTGGGCTTTGACCCCAAGAGCACCTTCCCCATAAGCTCAACATGAGTGATAAAATGGTGCCTTAATTTCCTACTGTTCCACTCTGCTATTTACCAATGTCCACTCTTGGCTACATTTTTATATTATTAAATGACCCTGAAAACCCAAGCCATCATCAATTTGCATAAGCACACTTGTTTTTTTAATGATACATTGAATATTCATTCCCCATAGCCCAGAGTATCATATCCAGGTCAGGATAGTCCTGGTGGGAGGAGGAGGCAGTGACTGCAGTGGCAGGGACATGCCCTGTGCACGTGGCTGTGCAGGGACAAAGCCTGTCCCGTGTCAGCCATCGCGGTGCTGCTCCTGCATCCCACAGATGTTGTGGAGCCCTGGGCATGTTGGGGTTTTCTGCTGACCAAGTGTCTCCCTCCATACCCACAGGAGTTGCCAGTGTTGTCGTCTCCTTCTTCCTCTCCATGTACTACAATGTGATAAATGCCTGGGCCTTCTGGTACCTCTTCCACTCCTTCCAGGTGTGTGGGTTCCCAGCAGCCCAGCTTGGCCCTGCTGTGGCTGTGGAGGGTCACAGTGGCTTTTCCTTGGTGCTGGATGTTGCCTGGCACCATTGTCAGCTGGGAATGGGGAGGTGGAGGGGTGTCAAAAGCTTCAGAAACCCAGGGCTTTGCTGTAGGGAAAAGTCAGGCAGTGATGTCCTCCTCCATGGTCCTCCCAGAGCCATTGGCCATGGTTTTCTCCTCACCATGGAATTCAGGTCAAGGCCAAGCTTGTGACACCTTGGTCACATGTGCCTTGGTGCCAGGGTGTCCTGCATCCTGGGATGGGCCTGTCTGATGTCAGGGGAGAAGTTTGGTCCCACAGTAGAGGCTTGGAGAGTGTCACCTCCAGGGGAGAGGGTTAAAGAGGCTCAGTCCTTGGGGAGAGAATCAGTCTGGTCACCCCCAAGGAAGAGGGACAGAGCTGATCTGTCCTTGGGTAGGGGGTTCAGAAAGGGTCATTCCCAGGGGAGAGGATCAGAAAGCATCAGTCCTTGGGCAAGGGTCATTGCCAAAAGAGATCATCCCCAGGGGAGAGGGTCATCCCCAGCCCCGGCAGCCCCTGCAGAAAGAAGCAAGCCCGGGCAGAAAGCCGTCCTTGCCATCATCATCCTCCGTGTTCCCCTCTGGCACCTCGGCTCTCCCTGCCGTGCCCTCACTCCATGCCCTTCCCGCCAGGACCCGCTGCCATGGGCCACCTGCCCCCTCAACAGCAACCGCACGGGCTACGAGGAGGAGTGTGAGAAGACTTCATCCACGCAGTACTTCTGGTACCGGCAGACCCTGAACATCTCCCCGTCGCTGGAGGCCAGCGGCAGCGTGCAGTGGGAGCAGGCGCTGTGCCTGACGCTGGCCTGGCTCGTGGTTTACCTCTGCATCCTCCGCGGCACCGCCTCCACCGGCAAGGTGAGAGAGAGCGGGCACAGCCCTGCCGAGCCCGGCACAGCCCTGCCCAACCCGGGCACAGCCCTGCCGAGCCCGGCACAGCACTGCCGAGCCCGGCACAGCCCTGCCCAACCCGAGCACAGCCCTGCCGAGCCCTGCCGAGCCCCGGGCACAGCCCTGCCGAGCGCTGATGGGCAGCGGGGAATGGCTGCTGCTCCTTGGGGTCACGGTATCTCCCCTGCAGCACCGAGCCCTGCTGCCCTGCCAAGGATCAGCTGAAGCAGGATCCACCAAATCTCTGAGTGATGCTGGAAAAGTAACCCAGGGAAGTTCTTTAAACACAGTCAGCTCTCTCTCATGGCCACTTGGCAGGCTGCTGGCCATGAGGAAAGCTGTCTGCCCCAACAGAGCCGTGTCAGGAGACGTCTATTCCTTGGTCTTTGCAAGAAAAACAAGACATCCACTGGGCGTTTTTTGCTTGCTTTTTATTCACAGCAGAAGTTATGAAGGAGTGGGAAGAAAAACCCCAATGTCCTGAGCCTGCACTAAGCAGCAAGCTGAGGGCTGTAATCCCCAAATCGTCTTAGCCAAATACAGAAAGCCAAGAGACTGTAAACTAGGAATAACCTCTTAAACTTGCTGCAACTGATTCAATTAAATTTTGATTCAATTTGATTAAATTCAAGTTTGATTTTGACCTTTTATGAACTCTGTTTGCCTTCCTTGTAGAGCAAACATTGATGATGATGATGATGATGATGATGATGATGATGATGATGACCTTTGCCTAATGAGTTTTTGATAGATGGTTGTGAACTGGTGTTATGCCACCAAATTATGTGGAACTGACTTTGTGAATGCGGCAAATATTTTAGATTTTTGTTTGATTTCCGGTCTAAGAGAAGACACTTGGAATAGTAGCACAGGTCTTCAGGATTATGAAAAACTTGTTTCCCTAAAATGTAAATATAAAGTTAGATTTGTCTGATAATATTTCTTAAAAATTAATACAGGATAACAATCACATTAATGGGAAGTGAGACTGACATAGCAGATTAGCTTTGTCTTACATATTCTTTAGACCAAGGTCTTTACCCTCTTTCCCCAGGTGGTCTATGTGACAGCCTCTTTGCCATACTGTGTTCTCATCATATACCTCATCAGAGGATTAACACTTCATGGAGCTGTGAATGGGCTCATCTACATGTTCACACCAAAGGTACAGAAAAACTGTATTGAATTCTTCAGGAAATGTTATCAGCTACTGGGCGTGTAAGTTTTTAAAAGGTCTTGGTCATCCTTTTTTTAATACTGAATTTTTGCTGCAGTAACATAGGTCTGGCAGCTGGGAACCTCAGCTGGGAATGGCTGGAGGCTGCCATGGTGCCCATAAGCTGCTTGCTTTTTCCTGCAGAAAAGGCCTCCCCATTGGGATAACCTACTGCTTCCAGCCAGAGCAGTGACCCTGCCCAAAACCACCCCTGGCCTGTAAGGAGTGCACAAAGGCCCCATCCCTGCAGCTGGAAGGGGCAGTGCTGGGCACTCCGTGGAACTTCATGGCTTTGCTCTCTCATCTGCCTTTGCAGCTGGAGCAGCTGTTGAACCCCAAGGCCTGGATCAGCGCTGCCACACAGATCTTCTTCTCTCTGGGCCTTGGCTTCGGCAGCCTCATTGCCTTTGCCAGCTACAATGAGCCCTCCAACAACTGCCAGCGACACGCCATCATCGTGTCCCTCATCAACAGCACCACCTCCATATTCGCCAGCATCGTCACCTTCTCCATCTACGGCTTCAAGGCCACCTTTAACTACGAGAGCTGCATCAACAAGTAAGAGCCCTCTGTGGCACTGGTTTTCACTGCACGCTGTTCTGGGGCAGCTGAGGGGGAGGTAAATAAACAACAGCACACAGCTCTGCCAGCACTGCCCCAAGAGCAGAGCTGATACTGCTCTAATAAAGCTAAAGGAGCTATTCAAAGCGATGAAGCCTGAGAGGAAAGGTCAGAGCGCTTTGCCTTTTGACACCTGGGCGCTGCTTCCAGGCACAGGCCTGGTCAAGAAGGTGAGTTTGCTTGCCAAGTCACAGAGGCATTTTCCCCTGTGTTCTTGTCCTGGTTCATACTCCAGGGAGTGTGGGGGAGCTGATTAATAAATGCAGTGATGCTCAGATCCCCTTTTTTAAGGCTAAGCCCTAAAGTTCCACGAGTTCAGCCTCCTTGGCTGTGATGCTCTGCGAGTGCCCAGCAGCCTGCAGGATTGTGTCCTGTAGCTGCAAGCTTGCGTGCAGTCCCTGGCACAGGGCCCACGACAGTTACACATTTACTCATATTTTTAGAGCTTTCAATCCATCTGTTGATCAGAGAGGAAACCAAGCTGCTAGTCCTTGCTTGTTGACAAAAGACTTTAAAGTCGGTGGGGTGTGGACGTGAGACTGCAGGGCAAAGGGGAAGAGACACCAGGCAGCACTGGCCAGTGCCCAAGATACCTGCCTGGGAGCAGCAGTGTGGGCACAGGAGCTGCTCCCTCCAAGGCACAAATGAGCACAAGGTTGCTGGTGCCCTGGCACTGTGCTGGAAGTGCCGCTCTCAGCCAGGGACACTGAAGCCCTGGGACCAGCAAAGCATTCTCTTGGGGCTGATGGAGAAAAGAGATGAGGAGCCCTGGGCCTGAAAGCCATTAAATTCCTGTAATCCTTCCCAGGGTGATCCTGCTGCTGCTGAATGCTTTTGACCTGGAGGAAGGCTCTTTAACAGCAGACAACCTCAGTGAGATGAAAGATTACCTCATGGCCACCTACCCACAGGAATATGCCCAATTAGCACCACAGATCAAAAACTGCAGCTTGGAAGCTGAGCTAGACACGGTGAGTTGCTGCTTTGTGGTGTCTCCTTTGCTCCTATTGAGCCCAGGAGCTGCCTGGCCTGGGCTGGGGATCATTTCTATGTCTCAGGATGGGGCAGGGGCTCACTTGGGTCATTAGCATCCAGTGTCCATGCAGTTGGGATAAACCAGTGAAGACCTCGGCTGCCTTTGCTGTGCAAAGCCACACCTGAGGTGTACACTGTCATGACACAGAGTCACACTCTTGTGTGTCCTTAATTGGGCTGAGGAGCTGCCTGCAACTCAATTTTCTCCCCTTGTCTCCATCAGGCTGTCCAGGGGACGGGACTGGCATTTATTGTCTATTCAGAGGCGATCAAAAACATGGAGGTGCCCCAGCTGTACTCTGTGCTCTACTTCTTCATGCTGCTGATGCTGGGCATTGGCAGCATGCTGGGGAACACGGCTGCCATCCTCACACCGCTGACCGACAGCAGGGCCATCGCCTCCCGCTTCCCCAAGGAGGTGATCTCGGGTAAGCGCCTGCCAGGCTGCTCACACGGGGAGCACCTGTGTGTGTGTGTGTGTGTGTTTGTGTGTGTGTGTGCATGTGTGTGTTTGTGTGTGCGCGTGTGTGTGTGTGTGTGTGCGTGTGTGTGCGTGTGTGTGTGTTTGTGTGTGTTTATGTGTGCGTGTGTGTGTGTGTGTGCGTGTGTGTGTGTGCGTGTGTGTGTGGGGATATGTGTGTGGGTGTGTGTGTGTTTGTGTGTGTGTACGTGTGTGTTTGTGTGTGCGTGTTTGTGTTTGTGTGTGTGTTTGTGTTTGTGTGTGCGCGTTTGTGCGCATGTGTGTGTGGGTATATGTGTGTTTGTGTGTGTGTGTGTGTGTTTGTGTGTGTGTACGTGTATGTGTTTGTGTGCATGTGTGTTTGTGTGTGTGTGTGTGTGTGTGTTTGTGTGTGTGTGTGTGTGTGTGTGTGTGTGTGCACAAGCTGTGGTCTCCACTGCCATTGAGGGAAGTGCCACTCCACTCTCTGACCTCGGGTGGAGCAGGGAATGGCAAATACGCTGCTGGAAGGGTTTGCCTGCCCTTGTGAAATCCGGCCCATCCTGTGCAGGCCTTTCCCTTGGGAGCTCCCAAAGCACCAGGGCAGTCGTGGCTGTGTATTCCCAGGCTTCCCAACACATCCCAGCTCCTTCAGATTCGTGTCTCCTGACTGGTGATGCTCAAAGGGAGGGTACAAATGGCAGCATAGTTGCAGTAAGCTAGTCAGTCACATCACCGGTATCCCAACTATGAACCACCTCAGTCATTGGTCAAAATAAATACATGCTCCTGTCTGGGCGTGGAAATAAGTTGTAAAAAACTTGTTTTAGTTGGATGCCCAGCAGCAACAGCAGGTGCTGCATGCACGTGTGACAAGGCTGTAGCTGAGACTTGGTTTTCTTGGCCATGTCTGGGATGATGTGCTGTGACTGTGCAGGTCTAAAGAGCAGCAGTTTAATGACAATCATGCATGCTAAGGGGCAGGTCTTATCCACAAGGAAAAGAAAATCCTTCTCCACAGAGAGCTGCTCAGGAGAAATCCCACCAGCTTGTTAGTCACAAGAAGTGTGACATTTTCCCTACACAAACTTCCAGGTGTAATGGCAGGATCCCTGTTTTATCCACACAGGTGTTGTGTGTTTTGTGAATTGTATAATTGGCCTGATCTTCACCACGGAGGCTGGAAATTACTGGTTTGACATCTTCAACGACTACGCAGCCACCCTGTCGCTGCTGCTCATCGTGCTGGTGGAAACCATCGCTGTGTGTTACATCTATGGCATAAGGAGGTACAGCTGGAGCCCTGCTTCCTTCATAGTCTGACAGCTGGGAGCAGCCACGGGCCAGGAATAAAAATACTGCCTTGGGATAAATATTTCTCCTGTGCTATAGGATCAGCAAGGGGATGGGGGTGTCCCCTGCCCTGCAGACCCCTTCTGGGGCCTTGGCTCAGGGCTCTGAGGGGCCAGGCTGGGCTGACACTATCTCTGCTGGCAGGGCAGTACTAAGGAATTGCACACACAGCTCCCTGCTCTTGTCTTTGGTCTTAGGAGCAACTTCTACCAAAATTCTGCTCCTCCCATGACAGGAATTTAACACAAGCACAAGAGTGCCAGTAAGTCTGGTTTCAAAGGTGATCACCTCGCACATTGTTTGTCTCCCAAGTCAATCCTTGTGGGTAAAAGGAAGCTCTGAAATCAGGAGAAGTTTTGAACAGCAGAGACATTTGAAAATAGCTGAAAGGAAAGATTCTAGCATTTGCTTTGTTAGTCTGCCAGCACAGAGGGTGTCCAGGCACATATGTGGGTATTTCCTCCCTGATGAGTTCAAAGCCTTTGAGTCAGGTCCAGGTGTCCTGTGAGATGTTAGGTACCATTCCCTGTGTCAGTGTTCCTCAAAGACAGTCAGGTAACAGCACTGGGAACACTCAGCTACACAAACCCAGCTGTTTTCTCCACAGCACTACAGCATCATTCCTTCTCTCTGTCAGCTGACACCAGTAACAGCCCAAGCTTATGCTTCAGGCAGAACTTTCTTGCTGTATCTATTTCTAGCTACTCTCTGCAACTTGGGATTCTCTTGGAAGCCTCACTGTCTTTGTTGACTTTCCCCTCACTGTGATTCTGGTGAGCCAGCTTTTCAGACAATAATTCTCTGCTCATTTGTGTTCAGCTGTACACTCCTTTCTCATCTGACATCCTCAATTCTGTAGGTGGCTTTTGAAGTAACTCAGAAGAAGGTATTCATCAAGTATCTGTAGCCAGTCTCAAAAATACGTGTTCAGTTTCCTTCACAAAAATGTTTGGTTTTCTTTTGAACAGATTTGAGAAAGATCTTTACACCATGATTGGACGCAAGCCAAACTGGTATTGGAAAATTATGTGGGCTTTTGTTAGTCCACTGCTTATTATAAGCCTATTTATTTTTTACATCACCGACTACATCCTCACAGGAACATTGCAATACCAAGCATGGGATGCCACACAGGTAAGAGGTTTGGGTCTGCACTTTTTTTCTGTTTTAGACCTTCCTTACTTCCTGCAAGGATAAAAGCTTCTAACTACACTCTTCCACAAAATGGCGTTCTGAAAGCGAGTAGCTGGAGTCAGGGCCATCCCTTAACTTTGTGGAAAGGAAAACCAGGGAATACTTGACTTAGTGATGATGCAACTGTTGATTCTGCAAAATCAACTAATTTCCCTCTATGATTCTTAATCAATCCTTTAAATTTCATTCATGTTGAAGACCCAAATATCATCTTTAAAAATACACTTAAAACCTCCCTACTTTTAAAGTGTATTTACTTTGAACAAAATTAGTGGAACTTAAAGAAAGCTGAGCTGCTGCCAGAATAGTTTTCATAATTTCCATATACATTTTTCTTCATGGCCAGGACACTTTCTTAAGAATACTGGACTGTACATTTATCACAGAGCAATTACTAATGGATAAGCAATCACTGGTTTCGTAACATTTTGTGGAAATGTTTCCATCATGCAGGAACAAAGCACATAATTGTTTTCATGTCATGGCCAATTTAGGACTCACGGCAGGCCCGGCCTGTTGACTGGGTGTCAGCATGAGCCCACAGGCTCCAGGAGAGGAACAGAGCCCTGGCAGAGGTCAGGGTCCAGCCACCTCATTAAGAAACACAAATCAAGCCAAAATCTGCTCTTTTCCAAAGCTTGCAGAAGTTTCCCCCAATCCTGCTGTCAGCAGCTCCGTTCCCGTCAGTTTTCAGTGCGTGTGGTTGACAGAGAACACCGAGGGCAGCTGTGGGCTGCCAGACTGCAAATGCTTCTCAGAGGTTCTGCTTAGGACACAGCTCTGCTCCTGGCCCGACTCTGGGACAGCTCCCACAGATCCAACTCTGCTTTTCTCCCTTGCAGGGGCAGCTGGTGACCAAGGACTACCCAGGCTATGCCCTGGCGGTGATCGGGCTGCTGGTGGCATCATCCACCATGTGCATCCCCCTGGGAGCACTAGTGACTTTTGTAAGGAAGAGACTGAAGAGGGAACGAGTCGCAACTGTCGCATGAGAGCTGACAGCTGGATTTGGGAAGACCCTACCCCCGTCACCAGTGACTGGGCACTTCTGGAAGACAGCAGCAACCATTATTTGTAGCAGCTACTTATAGAGTTGAGAATGGTGGGTGCTATATTGACCAAAAAGTGCTCTTGGGAAGTTCCACAATGGTTTGGGGAAGAAAAGCTTCTGTAACAAGATGAAGCTTAAAAGTGGCCTCTGTAAGAGGTGAGGAGAAGAGCAGCTCACAAAATGCCAGCTAGCACAAATTACCCAGCACACCAGCCCATTACACAACATTAGCTGATTCTTTTCCACTGTTGCAGCACTGCCTGTGTGGAAACATGAACAACCAAGCATGTCCCTGCACCTATTTACCAGCAAATGCCCCCAAACCATTCAAGACACTTAAGCATACTCATTGTTTGAAATGACACCTGTATTTCATAAACAGGTGAAACTGCTTGTCTGGCAATGAGATGTGACAATTGCTTTCCTACACAGGAATAATCAGCAGGATGGCACTGGGAGATAAATGTGGCCAATGTGGCTTCTTTTATACTTGTGTCCAGCAAAGCAGTGAATAAATATATTTATATTTGCATATATCTATATATATGCACACATATGTGTGAGCTGCACAAGTTCTCCCACCTCCAGAAGTAAGCTTCCAATTCCAGCATGCAATGTGTGGGGTGCTGTACTTTGTATTTCATAGGGATGTATTTTAAGTACACTGGAAAATATCTGTGATAAAGCTGCTTTACGAGCCCCACCCAAACAACAGTATGCCATATAATTAGCTTTGACAAAGTTCATATCCAGGTATTCTTTAATCATCAGATGTAACAATCCAGCTGTTCCACGGACCTGGTTAATTTCCCTGTGCAAATGTTTTATAAAGAAAGCAACATTGTTTAAATTGCAAGCTTCATGTAATAGAAAACATTAAAATTATATCTACGAACTTTCGAAAAGGTTGCTCTGAAGAACAGTATTAGAGAGACACTCACGGGACAGGGGTTCTTAATACAGCATCTTAGCTATGGAACCATTAGAGGATGGCAAGTGCCTTAGAAAAGAGGGATTCATTTCAAACACTGTGAAAGCACAACACAAGTCTCTGGTTCTGGGGCAAAAAGAGGAAATGTACAGCCCCCAGGGGTGGGCAAAATCTCCACAGTGACAAGCAAGAGGTGCGTAGTCTGCGACAGCCCTGCCTCCTTCCCCAGGCTTTGCTAACAAAGGAAAGACACCTTTTCACATTTCCGTTTATTAAAAATGGATACCATAAACAAGACCTGTACAAAATAAACCTGAAATTGCCTAGAATATGGTAATTGCCCAGAAATTGCCCAGAATATGATGAGAAGTTATCGTCTTGGGCCTCCTCTTCCTCTTCCACGACCTCGGCCTCTGCCACGGCCTCTTCCACGGCCCCTTCCAGCAACTTGGCAGGCAAAAGAAAAAGAGAACATAAAGTGAGACCGAGGAAAACTTTCTTTCTGATTAAAACATTCTGTACTGAGCATAATCACCACACTGCTTCCCTGTGATAAGACATTACATTAGGTATTAAGTCTGGTAATGGTCAGTAAGTTTTAGGTAATATTTTCATCTTTTGTGTTAGTTCTTCCAGTATACACTTTCCACAGACTACTGTCTGTCCTTGGATTCACTGCAGAAAACAAGGACATAAAATAGTTGGCTGCTCCCAAATGACTGGGTAATCTGACAGGAAACCAGGATTCATTCTTTTTCTATATATATAGAGTCTAGTTTTTTTTAGAGAGAAATGCAAATTTTGACAAACTGTGAGATTCCCAAACCCATCCTGTCTCAGGCACCATGTGGAAGCTCAGCGTTTTGAAAGGATCCCAGCATCCACCAGCTCCTACTGGTCTCAGTGATGCCTCTGCCAATTGCAGGTATGATTCTAAGGCAGAGGTCTTGACTGTGTGCTCCCAGTTTTAATTACTGCTATTTAATTGTAAAGGGAAGACAGAATCATAGGACAGTGCAGGCCACAAGCAATTCCTGAATGTCATAAGATCCACAAGGTGATAACGTGCCTTTGCATCTGTCTCACAAAGAAATGTGACCCACCAGGTTGCAAGGACACTCTGCAAACTTTAGATTATTGGTTCATTTAAAATGTGCTTCTGAGTGCAGGGCTCACAAAGATACTGAAAACTGCAGCAGCAGTGGCTCTCTAAGAGACTCCCACTGGCATCCACATTCAAGGAGCAGGCTGTGACAATTATTATGGGATGTAGGTTAGAAATTCAGGAGAGACAGACGGAGCAGAGACACAGGACAGGTTTGACTTAAGCAAGGTGTCATTATATTGCTGGTATACACTGACCCTGTATAGATAGACAGATAGATAGATAGATATAGAATAGACCCTGTATAGATAGATGTAGAATCCATGGAAGCATCAGCCCCAGCTGGAGGATGACAGCATCAGCAGGCAGCTGTGCTCACCGAGTGCCAGCACACTTGGGCACAAGGGACACGTGGCACACACAGCCCAGCCAGTATCCTGCCCTTTCCTGAGCACTTGCTAGGGACAGAATCAAGGGTGTTACACTGCTGCAGACCAAGGGCATTCATGGATTAAGGCAAAGCACAGCACAGCTTTGGTCTGAGAGCGCTTCCATGCACTGGGGATGCAGGGAGCATCAAATGAGGTAACTGGAGCTATCAGGGCTGCTTCCCAAAGCTGACACCAAGTAGGGATGTTGTTGTTCACATCACAACGTGAGGTTCAGGAAAAAGCAATCCAACCACACTCATTTCTCTGTGTGGTCAGATTGTTTTAATGAACTGGAGAGGAGCAAAGCCCCTCTGGGAGCTTTATCCTTATTCCCCACCAAAGCAGCAGCTGCAGTGCTCACAGGCTGCTGCACAGCTGAGGTTCTTCACCAATGCAGAACTCCCTGCACGCCCACATACTTCAACACTAATTACAGGAGAAATGGTACAACATGATTCTAGAGCACAATTAGCTTTCACTTACAGCTCACTGTTTTTAAAACACACAGATTAACCGGTGGGCAAAATATATACTGCTGCTGATTTCCTGGGGTTTACTGGAGACTCATCTTCAGTAGTGTGGATTACACTTGAGTTACAGTCTATACTCTTAGGCTTCCAAAGAGAAAGATTTTTATTCAGCAGCACTTTGAAAAAAAAAGTTCCAGGAAGAGCTGAGACTAGGACACTACTGGGAGCCAAAGCTGGAGATGTGCTCACTGGAATACAGCCTTGATTCCCTCAGGTTCTCAAGTCTATCAAATTCACAGATACCAAATTTCAGTGAACCACTCAACACCATCTGAGGTCCTGCACTTATTATCTATGTGAAGCTCCCCATACAAACTGAGGAAACACAGACACCTGAAGAAGAGGAAGTAAATCTCTTTGGGTGCCAACTGTGAGACTCAGTTAGGTTAAGACTTACTCAAGCTGATAAACATTTACATGTTGAAAAACAGAACAGCCATAACACAACTTCATGTGCATGAAGCTGTGCAGATGCCAAGGAGGTGGGCAAGGCAGACTGAGCCAGTGCCATGTCCAGCCCTCAGGGATGAAGGAATTCAGCGCCAAATGCAGACACTGACAGACTCCTATCAGACACCTTCAGACACACAGCACTAAAATGCACACAAAGGCAGAACAAACACAGACCAGGAAAGCGCAAACTCACCTGCTTCTCTTTTCTTGGATTTGACTTTTGGCTCAACATCCACTAGCAAAGTATCAAGAGGCAAACTGTCAGGCAGAATGAAGTAGCGGATGTTGTTCCCTCGAATACTCAGGGTCTCCAGCTGTACGGGCTCTCTGTTCTTCAGAGTCATTTTCACTGCTTTCAGGTGTGTGTTCATACTCACATCCACTCCTGAAACAACACAAGCCTCACGTCAGGGACAAGGTCTCTTGCTGCCTGTTTTGAAGTGCACACATGAAATGAGATTTATCCTGTTCATCAACACCTGCTTCTACCACTCATTAATTACTTCAGCCTGTCACAGAATGGAACTACATCTCTTTTCTCTCTTGAATTATCCAGTTACCATGAGAGGCCTTTAGCTCCTCATGGTTAGAGATCTTTATCCAGGTCCTGGTAATAGCTGCTTTGTAAATGGTTAAAGCAACTCCTCTGAACAACAAATAAACTACTGCTTATTACAGAAGGCTAACACTAATCTTTAGTCATTTAAAAAGAAGAAAAACAACCCTTGGAGAAGAAAAAATAACCTGGGTAAATTCCTTTTTCTGTAAATCTTAGGAAAATCCAACCACAAAAGCAACATTTACCTCCTGACAAAATACAATCAACACCAGAGTGAATTCTCTGTTAAAGTACATAAAATACCCCACTGCAAGGAACAACCACTGTGGTTACAAACTCCGAGAACAGCCAGTACACAGGAATTGTATGGAATCAGCACTGTGTACACTATGCTGTGTAATGCACAATTCCAAACTGGAAAAAACATCTCAGCTGGATGCATGTACTGCGTAACAGCTGTGAGGAGCAATTAAAAAAACCCAGAAGGTTCTGTTTTGCATAGAGCTTAAGTGGGATCTGATCTCCACCTATGAAGATCCAAATGACAGTGATTTTATTTTTCTGTCTGTCCCCCTCCCTCTGGATTTTACAAGCTCCACCTGACCCAGTCCCTTGGCTGCTGTGAGGGGCATTACACAAAACCTGTCCCCTCATCCCAGCCCTGCCCTGGGGCTGGGAGGAACAGGACATTGTGCAATGTTTTTGCAGATTCTTACCAGAAAATGAGAGAGGCTTTGCTCAACAATTAAGCGTGAAAGAGCAGCGAGGTCAGGAGCCCAGCAGTGTTTGCTTCCCATCTGCTGGGTTCAGCAGAGCGTGCTGCAATCGGGCACCAAGGTGGCTCCCTCAGCTCCTAATCAAAGCTGATGGACCTGGCTGCAAAATAATGCCAGTTTTGAACTCTGCCAAATCCCCACGGATTGCTGCTGGCCAAAACAGCACCTCAACAATCCTCTGGAATAAAACTCAAACTTAACAAGAGTTGTATGTTGGTGGTTTTTTTTTTGTTGTTGTTTTTTTTTGGTTTTTTTTTTGGTTTTTTTTTTCCCCCCCAAGAGTGCTGGGGCAGAAGAGCTTCTGAAAGCCACATGGGGGTGAGTTCAGCGAGGGAGATGCAGCAGCTTCCTCAGCTCAGCCCTGAGGGTTTGCCTCATTAAACACACCGCGCCCCACCCACTCTACCTAAATTAAGTACAGCTCACGGGAACACTCAGAGCAACGTCCCTCACTGAGGTTATTAAAGAAAACAAAATGGCTTGCACATGTTTTAATACCTGAGAACCACTTAATGAGACCTGCGGAATTCCCTGCAACGTCCAGCTCAGTGATATAAGGAAGCACCAGGTAATCAGGAGCCCCCAGGAAGGCACAGGACAGAGCTCTGGCAGCAGGGGGGGAGCAGATTCTCTCGGCCAGGATTCCTCTTTGCTCTATATCCCACACCCAGCTCTGCGTTCTCCAACCCGCCTCTCACACAATCAAACATATGCAAATACGCACTTCCATCTAGACTTGCCTTAACAAAATCGTGCTCAACAGGAATAATTATTTTTAGTCTGCATGCACAATTTAACCAATTAAAGCCCACATCAGCTGGAACAGGTTGCCCAGAGAAGCTGTGGATACCCCATCCCTGGCAGTGTTCCAGGCCAGGCTGGATGGGCCTTTGAGCAACCTGGTCTACTGGAGGGTACCCCTGTGCACGACAGAGGGTTAGAACAGGATAATCTTTAATGTCCCTTCCAACCCAACCATTCTGTGACTCTGTGACCGTGCTACTAAAATGACAAGAGACTACCGAGCAAAGTTTGGAAGAGTTTGTTTCCCTCCTCCCCCCGAGCCTGTCAGCAGGCAAAGCTGCAGCGGGGCGCAGAGGCTCCCAGCGCTACAGCGCATTTACAGCTCCCAGCAGAACCGCTAAAACAAATCTCTGAGCACGGATGGACTCACCCACTGCTGCACATCAAAGACAATCCGTGACTCACGAAATTCCCAATTTCGTGGTTCCCTGTGGAGAGCCGGCTGGTCACAGCTCCCGACTTTTCCCAGCAACCCCCGACAATTTCCAGACACTTTTGCAACACAAACACGCCTCGCACTTGCACATGAAACTATGAATTGAATTACAAAGCCCATCTCCTGCATTTCCCTGTGCCGGTCCCCGCAAGAGGGAGCACAGGACAAAAAACTCATTCAAGCTGCGAATGCCAATTGTCTACCGAAAAGCAACCGGGAGTATTTTGCTGCATCCTCCCATCCTTCCGTACCTGTGATCGTTCCATGCACCTGCGTCCCATTCTTCAGCTCAATGGTCACAGTCTCATGGCTCAGCTTCATTAGAAACCTGGGAATTAAAAACGCATTTAAGAAAAGCCCAGCCCGTTCACTTGCACACAAAGCGGTACGTGTCGGACAGGCGGCACCCAGCAGCGCCGCATCCCGAGCTCCCCCGGACGGCGCTCACGGATCCTGCCGGGGATGTTCAGTGGCACACTCCACGTCCTGCCCAGCCACCGGCGCTGGGACGCTTCCGTGACACAGTGCCAGATCCAGCATCCACTTCCAGGCCAAACGGCCATCATTGTACGGAGAAGGAACCATTTTAAAAATCGTTACAACCGCGGGAAGGCAACGCCAACCCAACTCCGGAGGGTTTCCCTCCAAAAAGCGGGCCGGGGGCTTTGCTGAGCGACCCGCGCAGGCCCCGGCTCACAGCGCGGTCCCCGCCCGGCCTGGCCCATCCCGGGCCGCTCCCGCTCCCGCCCGCGGTCAAGGAAGAGCGCGGGGTGGCCCTGAGGGCGCGGGCTCGCCCGGCGCGGGCAATCCGCCTCCATCCATCCCCATCCGCGCCCACCCGCTCACCTGACGAGCTTCATGGCGGCGGGCGGGCGTCCCCGAGCGCGGAGCGGCGGCGGGCGGGGAGCCCCGGGCGAGCGGAGCCCCTGGCACGGTGGGGCGGAGGCGCCTCTCGGTCAGGCCGCGCCGGGCCGCGCGCGCCAGGACGCTGCCGGGACAGCGCCCCCCAGCGGGCGGGCGGACCCGCGGCGAGCGCCGGCAGCGGCCGGAGCGGCCCGTGGGGGAGAGGGCGGGGAAATGTGAGAGGGGATGGAAAAGAGGGATGGGGGAAAAAGGAGATGGGAATAAAGTGAGGGGACTTGGTCTATGAAAGCCTGGCTGTTCGTAAGGTTTTACATCTACCAGCTCGCCTTCCTTAATGAAAAATAAATGTTAGAAAAAAAAAAAAACCAAACAAACCTACTTTGTTTTAAACCTGCTTTGAGCTTTAAAAATAGGAAAAAACTCAAGGCCTAGAACCTGTAAAGCACTAATTTATTGTGAAAAAAGTTACAGCTTCAGGATCCAGAACTTTAATAGCAAGACTTTTCTGTGCGCATGTCAGTCTCTTCTCCCAGCAAAGGTAAAAGGGAAAGGAGGAAGACACCTTGAATTTTCACCTATTGGTATGGTCAATAAGAGGCTGAAGTGCCCTTGTGAGGAAAGGGGCAAAGAGCCACCGGCCCTGAGCAGAGGTGACACTGGGGATGCAGCACCGGAGCACTCCAGGCACAGGAGCTCCAGACAGACCCAGCCATGGCTGAGAGGAGCAGAAATCTCACAGTGCAGGCTGAGACCAGGCTCTGCCCGAGATCAGCACTGTTTGAGTGATGATCCCTGCAACGAGCACACACAAAACTGAAGCAGCCTTCAGGTGTGAATCAGCTCCTAAGGAATGATTTGGGAACAGTCTGCTCCAAAGCACAAAAGGCACTGCAGACAGCACATCTAGAAAAGCTGAACATTTTATTGTCATTTAAGAGTAGTACACCATTTGTGATTTTAGAAATACAGACTCTTTGCAAAGCACTGAAACACAGGTGCCTTCCAACTTCTAAAACCTACATTATTCTAAGTCTTACAAACCTTTTATATTAGCAAGTCAAGTTTGGTCTTTGCTGCAACAAGTTCTTCACCAAAGATGCAACAACTTAGTTCTAGACTGCAAGACAACTGAGCCAAGTTTCAAACTCCACCTGCCATTGAGCCACCAGAACCACTGCTTTCAAATATTGAGTCTATGATGTTCTTGTACTTTGTGCCCATGAGGGAGTTCACCTTTGAAAATTTTAAGTTAGGAGGATTTTCCAGTTAGCCACCAACTGGTATTTTTCCATTATAGCATCTAGAAGCAAATGGATACCTTGCAAGTACTAGTGCTCATGAACAGGTTATGTTTACACAAAACCCAGAAGAGGCCTCCAGAAACATTCAAGGTTAAAATGAACAGTTGCAAAAGAAAAAAAAAAAAAAAAAGGATCTGTACATATTTTCAGTCATAACACAAGGGAACACTGGAGTATCAGTGTTTTGTGTTCTAGCTTCAATAGTGACACCTGTGCTAGCCCTAGTAGTATTCTACATGTTTGTCCCTTCCCCCCATTTAAATTTTATACTCGCAATCTGAATATACAGCTGTACTTACAGGAAATATTAAACAATGCACAGCGCCTTAAGCAAGTTCCATGTCTGGTTTTGAACAAACCATATAAAATAAGTGACAAAATAGTTTAAAATTGGTCCTTATTTTTATACAGCTTGGAAGCACTAAATTTAAAGACACACATTAACCAGCACAAATTAGTCAGCAGATTTTTTTTCTTAAAAGAGTGTGTTACAGTATCATGCATGAAAAGCAAGCTGCTGCTCCCAAGTAGAAATTCAGAGTTTAGACTTCCTGCTTTCTTCTCAGGCTGTTATTCCTTCTGTCATAAATTATTTCAACATAACCAAGGATAGAAGCAGCTGACTAGCAAAACAATATGAAATTCATCTTTTATGTTGTGACCCATTCTTAAAGTAATGAAGTACTTTGGAACTTTAGCATAAGGAAGGTTGAATAAACACTGCAAAGGACTTTTACATTCTTTGATTTTGTTTACATCTTCAGAAAGAAAATTCTACATTTTAACTCGCTAACTACTGGATTTTCATATGGAGACTGCAGTATTGAAACAGTGCAAGACATTTGCAACTTCAGGAACATCCAATTACACTGCCCTTTCACCCAAACAATGATTAGCAGAATATTGCATCAGTTCTAGATAAACAAGACAGGACAAAAACCTCATTTTAGAATAGCATTAGGATTCAAAAATCTTTCATATTTAGTGAAAAGAATCCACACACAAATATGCACGAAGGACTCCTTAACACAGACTCTATCACAACAAACGTAATCCAGCTGTAAGTCTGGACCAGGACTTTTTATTGGTAAGAAGCCATATTTGTTCAGAGATCCCTAACAGATGTTCCATTAATAATGCTTCAACATTTGGGTATTTTGAGACATGAACAGCATCAAAGCTCTTTCCTGTCAAAGCCAAAAAACCAGCTGGAACAACCCAGGTGGAGCATAAGCTTAAGCAGTCCACTTAAGCTCCAAGAACATTCCAGACACCAAAAAGCTGGCTTTTGTCTTTGCATTACCCCAGTGAGAGTGGAGCCCTGTCCACTAATGCAATATTCCAAAGACCATTGCAACTAAGACTGCCAAGTCAGGTCTCAGTTGAAAGCTCCCACCACCACAGGACACCGTTTCCTTACCCCTGACCCCCCACTGCCAAGGAAGAATGTTCATTAGGGCATTTTTGGTGTGGAAAGCAGGTCAGTAGAGACTCCAAGTGTGGCTTGAAGAATCCTCAGTACCAAGCCGCTTTCCACACACACAAATTCAGTCCATCTTCTCCTTCTGGACCAGCTTGGGTGCATCTACGAAATCCTTGCCGTTGTAAAGGATGATAGCAAAAGTTCCAAAGCTGGCACTTCCCCAGAAAAGCACATAGGCCAGTGTCTCAGTCCATGTATCACCTGAGAAGAAGAGTCAGATAAACCTTTCAGCTCATTATCTCCAATTAGCAGACAGTTTTACTTTAGGACACATGCAAATATTTCAAGCTCTCCCTCAGAGATTTGTTGTCAAATGAAACCAGAAGTCTTTCACAGATCTTTTTCTGTTTCCTTACCTTGGAATATTTGTATTTGCCACACAGCTCTTGGAACACATTGAACAGAGATCTATGGAAGCCAGTCAAGAACTCTACTGGCAACAATGTTAGAAAATTCAAGGCAGAAGCAGAAGGCAAAAACCTTCACCATTCCCAACACAGATTTAGATTAAAGGGAAATCCATCAGAACTAGGCTTATGCCTGTATGTGACAGCTCTGAATTGTCCTTCTGCCCAAAAAGACAAGTATTCCTCTGGGGCTTCATCCAGCCTACAATAAAGCTACAGGTGCATCTACATTTGGAGATAATCAACTGTGCCTTACTTGACTTCTACATGAGTTTTAATATTGTTTTCTACAGCATCTCAGTTTTTTCCACACTAATGATACAGTGCTAAACTTCAATCTCCAGAGCCATGTTCAAGCATCCTTTAGAATGACTGAGAAGCAATTCTACACTGAATAGTTACTGGTAGCCATTTACAGAAAGTTCACAGAGAAATAAGCCAGTTTTATACAATCAAACTCAATAGTGACTTACCAGCCATTAGCAAACAAATAATGCACATGGAGAAAGCAACCACCATAATAATAGGCAACTGAGGAAAGAGAAACAGAATAATCACTTGATACAGCAATATGTACATACGTTCCTTAATTTCTTTTAAGATGAGTAGTACTGTAAAGCTGTTACTTGCTTTGCTTCTCATTTCACCTGCATTCAGGTACAAATAAAAGTTTGGATAGTTCCAAAATCTGGAAGACTGTATTCAATCATAATGTTTAGAATTGAAATACACCTCCTGTGCATTAAAAAAGAGGTTGAGGCTTATGCTTTGCTTAAAATGCAAATAAATACACCAGTTAAACCCATTATGTTCCCAAATCCCATTTCAAAATAGAAAGGGAAGGGTGAAAAAAGTGAAAAGAATGGGGGTTTTGTGTTACAATCTATGCTTCTGCATGAAGTGTGAGAAAAGAAGTCCACAAGATTCTTCTGCAGAAGGAAACAGTCATTGATAGTGAGTAATAGAATTTTCCCCCTTCCACCTGGTGAAGCATATTTGAAAAAAAAAAACAAACCAGCAGTTTTTCCAATACCTCAAGGACACTCCATTTTCTGTCAAGGGAACAGTCTGGGTTTAATCCTATAAGCAGGTGTCACAGAATTACCAGATTACAGGGATGCTTCATGACTAACTGACAAGTCCTACTCAGGCATAATGAAGCCAGTGACTGAATGGTTGTGTTTCTCTTAGTACAAATAAAGTCTCCATACTCACAGCTAAGAACTTCCAATCTTTCTTGACATGTAAAGGACTAGCAGGTTCTACTTCATCCACTGAATAATTTCCAAGAAAAAGATCAATCGCATCCTGGAAGAGAAAGGGAGGGCAAGAGTTAGAATGCACAACAATGTTTATCACATACACTTCCCCATGGTTAAAAACTTTACTTACTTGTCTAAACCCATCAGAAAAGTTGTTTTTGTAGTAACGTTTTAATGAGTTCCAGCCATCCATTATTAAGCCCCACTTAGTTCTCTTCCCAGTTCTGCAAAAAGAAATTGTGAACAATATTTAAAATACATGAATGCATTCAGGACTATAATTTCAGATTTACATTCTGTCACTATCCAGATGTGTCCTGCATTAAATGAAC